TTCAGATTGCGATATACGTTGCCGGTCCAGCCCGGAACAGGGGGATGAGGCGTGGAGGAGGATTCAACTATCCTGAAGATGGAAAGGACGGATTGACGTCGAATCACCATTCTGTCCTGGCATTGTCTCGAGAAAGAGGTTACACGTGAAGGTCGCTGAGAGTGGGGCCATGAAAATTTTGGATTAGGTGTAAACATGATAAACTGGGAGTCGATTTGTTGTGATGCGCTACGGCTTACGCGGGTAATTTGTTAGAGCCGGATCGGTCCTTTTTTTCTTTTTGCTGAGAGTGGGTACGACTAACCTGCAATGGAATTTAACTTTACTCCTAGGAGGGTGGTTAAAAATGATTGCGGATATACGCGCATACGAGAGGCACTGGTTTACTCCCAATCCTCCGTTTAATTGTATTCAGTGTGCACTGTGCAGGGTCTGATAGGTGGAGGTAATGGATCTGTCTAGCTTCCAAAAAGAAAGCATCACCCTGGATACGTGTCGACCACAACTTTAAATGAACAGCAATGGACAATGTAAATGGTTGATAATGACCGTGTTGCCATCTCCCCGTTCGCGAATCATGAAGTTATGCTTCCTCACTGAGGCTCTTAGGCGGGTTATAGAGCATGACGGATGTGGGTTCCGCATTTTCAAGCAATAGTTGTCAACAGTTGATTGATGTTTTGTCAAAACATATTAGCATATACGGCAGTTCAGTGTACTTTATGTCCGTCTGGTGTGCCCATCGTTGCGTTTTCGCAACGCTGATGGCGCCCGGTGTGCCCTTCGTTGCGATTTCGCAACGCATGTTTTTTACGTTTTTCTCGAGAAACTTTTGCTGCAGGCAAAAATTATTTTCGATTCCATACAAGGCCCTGGTAGGAGCATAACATATTTTGATTTCGTCGATTTTCATGATGGTCAATATTCCTGGGCATAAATGGGTTAACCCTCGCCGGACCTATTGGTTTTCTACATACGCGCCGGCCGAGAGGGGGGGGGGCCGGTACGACCCCCCCCTCGCCGTTTCGCCCCTGGTGGAGCTAGCGCGTCGCGGAAAAAACGAGCGTGTGCGCCGTTACGAGACGCAGAGATTGGTACCCGACTTTAAGGTCCTAGGTCAACCGGTGACCTCTGAGGTCAGGTCAAGTGCCCCAGGGTACGGTTTAGTTTTTGGTGAATAATTTCGCAAAAAACGGCCGCAGAGCCGCGATTTTGGCAGCATCGTGTTCGCCTCGCTCAGGCGCGTCGACTGATATACTTTTTGTCCGGGTCAGGTCAACTTGGGGTGTTGACCTCAGGTCAAGGTCAGGTCAGCACCCCCAGGTCACGAAGTTGGTCGAAAGAGGTCATGTCGCATATCATTCGATTCGGCAGGTCTTCCTGAGTCCATTGGTGGCTTTCCCGACTCGCTAGCTCAATTTGATCAAGAGTTATTGACGAAAAACTAATATGACCTTGATGACGTCATAAATGACGTCACGCAAGGTCAACATTGCAAAAGTGACGCATCTAACCTTGCAAGGAGTGCATCAAATCACGATTATGTGTGCTTGAGATAGTTGGAGATCGTTCCCGGCGCCAGAATAGCAGTTTTCATTTTTCCCCATTGGCTTATAATGGTGAGGTCACGAAAATGACCTGACCTCATATGACCTTTAGGAAAAATCCGAGATATAAAAGTTGTGAGATACTAGATCCTGCAAGTTTCATTTCCCTGTGACATCTCCTCTGGCAGTGAGGGCGTTGCGAAGTTGCGACATCTGAAGACCGTGCAGAGGTTCACTTATGACGTCATAGGTCAGTGACCTGACCTGACCCAAAAATGCGGTTGGTGTCAAAAGATGTGGCTTGGATCAAAGGTCAGGTATGCCAAGTTTCAGCTCTCTATCTCCAGCGTGTTCGGAGCTATCGCGAAAAAAAAACCCTATGGGGGGGGCGGCACCCGCCCCCCCCTCGGCCGGCGAGGGTTAAATATTAGAAATATGTCATTTTTAGTTGATATTGTCTTACTCCTGCCTAATTTTCGAGCGAGTGATCGTTGGAAGCCGGAGAAAACAGTGTCAACGAAAAGGATCTTCCGAGTTCTAATGCAGGTCAAAGTCTGGTCAACGTCACGCTAATGGGCCAAATTCCAAGTCTGTGTGTAATTGACATCCTTACCACTAGCCTAATTAGCGACAAAATGACTAACAAGTGACAGTTGTCGCCTAAAACGCTCCCATAGGTCACCGAGACAAATACCTATATAAGACGCCATACAAAGTCAAAGATCAAGTCCAAGTCAGTTCACAAAACCATCGTAAACTAGCAACAGAAAATAATCGCAAGATTGACTTTCTGTTTTGCTACTGTAGGTATATTTCATGGAAAGACTAACACGCTGAAAATAATTGTATTTATGTCAAAGGGAAGGAGGCACATTGCACTTCCATTGCAAAGCCATTCTTTCCACATTTGCCGATGATGCACCTGGAAAGTCACGATGCACAGTTTGTTTTCAATTTGAGGCGTTTTTTTTTGTCGCAATGTGTAAAATTGATGCCCGGAGGAGTCCTGAAAGTTTAGTGGCGTTATCTCCAATCGTTTAGGAGATATTGACGGAAAAGGACAGGGGGGCCATTCCCCCCCCCTACCTACGGGGCGCGGGTTAACCCGCGCCCTGGTGGGGGGGGGCTATTTTTTGCCCCCCTCCAGACTTTTCGATATATCTCCAGAACCGCTGCGCCGATCGTCACCAAACTTTCAGTACCCTCCCGGACATCAATTTTACACATTATGACCAAAAAATTTTTCAAAGGCTATGATAGGTTGGCCGGAAATGACGTCAGAGTGACGTCATGTTCTGCCGTTTTCGACCTAAAAAAGGGTTTCGCGGGAAGAGCTGTCAGGCCTATAGCTTTGCAAATACAGAAAAACGATAAAAATATAAAAGCTGTAGAATTGACAGGGCTACAAAACTGCTATCTCGGATTTTTAAAATTTTTGGATTTTCACCCCTAAAAATCAAAAAATAGATTTTCTGATTATAATAGCTGAAAAATCCAAAAAGTTTTTTGAATTTCGAAAAAAACGGAATATATGTGATAGTTCTTACCGCCTTCTATCTACATACCAAATTTGAGATCGATACCTCTTTTTTTGGCCAAGTTACAGCGAAAAAACTGTTCAAAATTGATGACGTCAAATTTTCAAACTCAATTTCTAGCAATTCTAGACCTCGTAGCGCAAAACAAAGACCACCATTAGACTCCCCGTGACGAGCTGCATCGAATCAATACCCATTTTATGCAAAAATATCAACTTTGAAATTTGACCTTTTTTGACCTGACCTTGACCTGACCTCCACCAGAAAGTGACCTAAGCCGTACCTGGTAGTCTTATAACCAACACCATTGAGTTGGAAATGAAAAATTGGCCATAAAACATGCATCATTCAACCTTAGTACCTAAAGTTAGGTTCATGTGACCTGACCTGTGACCCTTGGTGACCTGACCTGTGACCTGGTAATGTCAGTGACCTCTTATAGCAATATATGTACTAGGCAACTGACGCCCTATCGCTGATTCTCGACAAAATGCGTTTTCTTCGGTGTTATAGCGCATTCCCTAGATGACCCGTGAACGGTGAAACATTTCATCTTTGACCTGACCTGTGACGTCATCGGTGACCCCGAGGTCAATGAAATTTGGTTTCCTTCGACAAATTTGACAGGGCTTTCGAACGCCGTTTGAATTTCGCGGATCCGTCCAGTAGTTTCGGAGATACGAGGGGGGCAAAAAATAGCCCACCCCCACCAGGTCGCGTTATAAACAGACCCCACCAGGGCGCGGGTTAAGCGTGTCGATTGTGAGCATTGGGACAAAGCTATAAATTGTGAACTCAGCCCGTGTGGTGCGGCACAGCCTACCACTCCAGGCAAATAATTGCCTGTGAAAAGTGGAATATCGTTCTGCAGCCGACTATACATAAGCTTGCCAGAAAGCCAAAACACCAGCATGCAAGCTTTCAAACATCACATATAAGAATAAACGAGCATTTAGTTGTAAGCAATGGAATCTAAAATCAATAATTGCGAAGTAATCTTGTATTTCATATGCAATAAATTGCTATATGCAATATGCATACATTCATACCTACATCCACTACATACATGCATACCTACATCTATTCCAGCACTTTACTAGCATTACAGTTCTAATCCATAAAGGCAAAGCTTTCGCGATCATGTGTAGCTGGCGTTAAAGGCGTCCCAGGCCGCCACTTTGTAACAATTGCTGGTGTGTGCACATAATACTGTTGAAAAATCACGGCGGCACTCGCCAGTCGCCACTCTATCACTCCAGACTCCGGGGCAATGAAAATAACTCCGCGGACATAGCTGAGCTTTGCTCGGTGCATTACTCAACTAGCCTGACACAGGTGAACGTTGTCCACGGTTATCAAACTGCCTTCCCTGCCACTGCTAGTGCACTCAACTGAATGAACTACCCAGAGCCGTCTGCTGATTCATTTAACTTTCACAAATAGTCGCTTAGCAGGGATGACCGTGCTTTGTCCTGTGCCGTTGGTTTTATGTTGCACCATTTCTTTTAGTGAACTGTGGCCTGTAAGCCTGGAATGAGTGCCGTCTGCCGTCTGCTGTGCTCCATGGAACCTTTTACCGTAGCCTGCTACATCCAGCGCCTTCTACACACACAGGGAATTCCTCATTAGGCTGTCAGCCGCGGGTCAAGCTCAACATCTCCACTATACTACACGACAAACATTTTTCAGTTGTAACGAATGGCTTAGCGACTATCCACAACGGAAATTCCTTAAAAATGAATATATTAACGGTATAAAATATAGCTCTCCTTTCGTCACATACCTCCCGTTTCAAAAGATAAATGCACTCCGCGGCGTTGTACCTCCAACCTGTGAGTCGGTCTCACCTTCCGTGGTACCTTCAACTTCCGATCGATCACCTCCCCCTCCTCCCTGAGTCCCTGGTCACCCCCCGTCACCTCCCAGCCGCCGCCGCCGCCGCCGCCTGGCTGGCCGCGAACTCGTCCTGCTGCGCCTGCAGCTGCGCCGCCTGGAACGCCTGCAGGCTGTTGTTCTCCTCCATGGCGATGGCTAGGTAGGCCGCCGACATCACGGCCACCAGACCGATGGCCAGCATCAGTGGGTTGCGGATGGCCGCAGCCAGCGCATTGGTCCGCTCGGCGTCCGTCTGCGGTCGGCTGGAGGGACGGGTGGAGGGACGCGTGGAGGGACGAGTGGAGGGACGCCTGGAGGGACGGCTCGTGGTGATGGGGGAGGTGGTCGGAGCTGCTGTCGGCCGGCCGTTCCCGTTCCCCATGTGCTGGTCCTGGAGGGTGGGGCGGCTGAAGGTGGCTGCTGGCACCACCTGTATTCCAGCGCCCATCTGCTGCGGCCGCGCTGGTCTCGGCGGCGCCACGGGTCTGACTCCTCCGGAGCCGCTCCCTCCGCTGCTGTCACCACCGACAGAAGCGGTCGCGTGACACGTGCCGCCGGCGTTACTGCAGGACGACTGCACGGTGTTGGTGGGACGATTGTGGGTCATTAGCGGTCTCAGCGGACCGGGACCGCCGGGTAGAGGACCTTTCACGGTCGCGGAGCCGCCACCAGGACCACCCCCTCCCCCTCCGCGGTCGCTGCCTGTCGGGACCGCCGCCGGGCCCAGGGCGACACTCGGGTGGTGAGCCCCGAAATCAGCCTCGGCCAAGGATGCTGTCAGACCGTTGTGAGGCGCAGCACCCGCGGGACGGGACAGGTCAACGGCTGTCACCCTATCAACGCTGCTCTCCACTAATATGGCGTCCACTATAGCTGGCGAGGGAGTAGCACTAGCTGAAGGCGTGCTAGTTGACGCTGGTGACAGTTCAGGAGACACGTGCTCACCTCCCCCACCATCTAGCGAGCTGACTCCGGACAACCCCGGGATATTTCCAGATGGGAGCGTCTGGGCTCCCTCCTGCGGTCTCCCTCCTGCTATAAGATCGTCCCCGGTGCCGGGGTCGCCGGCGGTAGTCCCGCTCACCAGCTGTGGTTCCTCCAGCGGCCGTCCCGGCCGGGTGATACCAAGTTCGGCAGCCTCCGCCGGGCTCAGCTGGTTGAACAACTCCGCCTGACTGAAGTAGTCCACACCGGTGTAGTCGGGCCGAAAGGTCACCGTTCCAGTCCTTTGCTGGATGCTGTCTGAAGTCGAGCTGGGCTCCTCGGGACGGGAGGGAGATGACACGTCCTCATGACGATTTTCATTGGACGACGGGAAGGAGTCAGACGCAGTCGTCGCTGGATATGGTGCGTTCGTTGGATCGCTGATGACCTCGGGAGTTTGTGATGACTGATTGTGCCGCTGCTCGCTATGAGATGGCAGCTGATCGTGGTCTGAATGGTGAGAACTGTCGCTCGAATGAAGAGTGTTATCCAAGAGGTGAGACCCGGAATTTGGAGGATGGTGATCACTCACAGTTGGTCCTGCTGGTGGTAGGTCCGGTCTCTCTGCCGCCGCTGCCGCCAGGTGCCGCAGGTTCATATTGGCCACCGCCTGCAGTTGCAGATACTGCTGCAGCGGGAGACCCACGATCACTGCCTGCTGTCGCTGCATCTGCCGCTGCAACTGGGCGCTGCTAACCAGCGGCACAGAGCCGGCTGCTGGGCCCAGCACAGGACGCGCCTCAACCACCGAGCTGCCGGCCAGCAGAGGGCTGGCCAGCAGCTGCTCGACCAGCTGCTGGTGCTGCTGGTGGTGCTGGTGGTGGTGTGAGTGGTGCTGGCGCGGTCGGTGCGCTGTAGAGGAGGGCGCCGAGGACTGACCGGCAACTAGTAGCGTCGGGGCAGGTCGCACGCCCGTTCGAAGAGCGTTGATCAGTGCCGCTCTGTGGCCCGACTGGCAGGCCGACAGGCGACAAGAGGCCACCAGGATAAGGCTTGTTAGCAGTAGACGCATGACAGCAGCCGGATCACAACACAAATGCAACGCCGTTCCCGATCAGTGCGACTCAGGGCGGCGGCATCCTGTGAGACTGCTACTGCACCATGGCAAGAAGGACACCAAGCTGGAAATAAACGCAGTGTCTTGTTCGCATGCCTCTACAAAAACCAATACTTCGAATGTTCAAAGTATCGTGTAAAAACAATGCTGGCACAAGCACACCACGGCGACAGCATGCGACGAACTGATGGTTCGCACTGCCTGATCTAGACACATGACTAAAACGGTACATCTAACCCACATAACCCACCGAGACGCGCTCTCAGCACGGACGACATCCTCCCCGCCTCTGTGCAGTCATGGCCGTGTCGTCACACTCAATAGCCGTGATGATTGCGGCTGTGACGCTCGGCCGTCACGCCGGTGACCCGTGGCGCCTGCCGTAACGTGACGGCTTATGAGGGTGTCTTGCATCTCTGAACGGAGTGCATTGAGGTGGCGGTGCAGTGCGGGGCTTCACTTCAGTGAGACGGACGCCAGTTGTGTGATATACATAGACGGTGCGCTAATACGGAAGTCAGCTAAGTGCATTCTCCCGGAAGTCACACGTTTACTTTGAGAGCAGCGTGGAATATTTTATTGGATTGATGACAGCCCGTGTTTGTGACTTGTGAGTTATGAGATAGGGACTGATGTTCTTGGTACAACCGATCACAAGTTCAAGGGTGAAGAAACCAAGACTAAATTATAAAATAATACTTATCAAGATAAAGACCATACCGAAAGTATTGGTGTTCATTACAAGAATTGAGTGACTAAACGGCTGCCAACGTGACCAAGAACTTGGCGTACTCGTAGGTATATATTCTTCTGCTAACGTTGGTAGTCCTCGCCTTCTGCCATGTCGATGATGGGAATGACCGGGGACAGCATGGGCCTCAACATCGGCGACACGGACGACAATTTCAGAGCCGGTGAGTGTGCCTATTGGACAGCATGGGCGACACAGACGACACATTTTCAGAGCCGGTGAGTGCATCGCAAACGTCTATCCATATCCACGCTTGTGGATGCTGCTGTCCGAGACAACGCCCAAGAATAAAAGCTGGGCTAGACGCAAGGCGGCTTCAATAGTACATAGGTAATCGTATTGAATTGATCAAGTCTTGCTCGGAATATAACATAACATTCGGAACATTAACATTAAACAGTATATAGGGATTGACTAGGAATATGGGGATAAAGGGTCATTCATTCATTCATTCATTCATTCATTCATTCATTCATTCATTCATTCATTCATAAATACATTCATCCATCCGTTCATTCATTCATTCATTCATTCATTTATTTATTTATTCATTCAGTCAGTCAGTCAGTCAGTCAGTCAGTCAGTCAGTCATTCAGTCCGTCAATTAATCAATCAGCCAGTCAATTAATCAATCAGTTAGTCAGTCAGTCAGTCAAAACAGTCAGTCAGTCATTCATTCATTCGTCCATCCAACTATCCATCCATCTCTATTCACTGACGGATCCAGGGGCATTTGGGGAAAATGTTTCCCCCCTCCTCGTAGCGCCCGAAATCGACGAAATTTTACTATTTTTATTTCGAGGAAAAGGATACCCAAATATGAAACAACATTTTTTTGTTAGAAACGTCTCGTGTTGAACTTTGCAGCAGTGCGTAAAGAATCAAATTCCCGATTTTTTTTTTAATTTGGAAAAGAATTGCGGTGTATGCCCCAACAGCCTCCAAGACGGTGCCTTTCTGGATCCGTGCAGTGTCCCTATTCAAGCATTTTTCTCGTTCTTTTATGCAATAATTCACTCCGTGATCGTTCATCTACTCGTGGAATCGTTAGTGCGTTCATTATAAACCAGTAAAACGCCTTTTGGGCGAAGAACGAGCGAGCAAGATAGTGAGCGCTGCACGTGCGGAAGGGCGAGAGGGTACTTCCAACGGGCTTGTGCAAAGCACCCTTCTAACCGGTCGCTAGCGGTGTACCAAATTTGAACGCAATCGGCCCAGCCGTTCCTGAGATCTGGAAGCGGCATTCTGCACGTGCGCACGTGCAAACGGGGTCCAAACTGACTTTTGCACGGCACCCTACTAACCGGTCCCCAACCGTGTACCAAATTTGAGCGCAATCAGCCCAGCCGTTCTCGAGATCTGGAAACGCCCCCTGCACGTGCGCACGTGCAGTAGCACCCTAACCGCAACACATGGGAATGCATTGCCTGGTGGGTGCCTACATGTACATATGCCAACTTTCAGCGAAATCGCCCCAGTAATTAGTTTTCCTCAGCGAAGCCCGTTTTTAAAAACAATTAACTTTTTAGAAAAGACTTCACTTCGCTTCGCTCGCTGCGCTCGCTCGTAATTACGTTATTCTTTCGCTTTTTCCCATTAGTTCGTTCGGTCGCATGTTGTCATTTCTTTGTTTGTTCGTTCTTTCCTTTCCGTGGCGTTGCTAAAACAAAACTTCGTATGATAATTGGCTAATGATATGAGGTACTTTATAATTCATGCTCGGATGCCATTGCTGGCATTTGGTATGTTTATGGAATAAATATCCGCAGCGTTCTACGTAGCGTGATGCTGCAACAATCCGATTTTTTTGTGTTGATTATTTTTTTTTTTCACCCCATCCGCTGCAGGGATATGGCTGGTAATCGTTCTGCTGCACAGTAGCGGCGGAACACCTTCAATTAAAGGGGGGGGGGGGGGGTCACTGTCACTTTTGGTCCCATTCTTTCCATGCAACGCCCATAGGGCTAATGTTAAAATGCCAAAAGCAAAGCGGGGGGGGGGGGGGGAGGGGCACGGTGCCCCGGTGCCGACTATACTGATGCATTGTTCCATACCCGTGCCTGACACCCTCGCACCTCGCTCCGCTATGTAGGAAAGTGTCTGCTGGCTAATCTAATGCCTTCCCTCGCTCCGCCGCAGGTATGTGGCTGCTGGCCCTGGTGTTGACGCTTGGCGCCGCGTTCCCGGCACTGGTCAGCGGCATCGGTCTGGGCTTCCGCCGACGGAGAAGAGAGACGCCCGCCAACCAAATCCATCCCGAACGTCTCATATCGCTGCTGCTGGCTTTGGAACGAGCAGTGGAGAAAAGAACGCGTCAGCATGTCCACGGCAGATGATCAAACACGATGCTTACGTGCAAAGTAGACATTGGATATAATCTGGTGTTTGTGCTACATGCAGTGAAGAGTGGAGACTCGTAGTTCAGGGGTGATCTGTGTGGCAGTTGGAGCTCGAACAGAGTGTGCTGGGCCTGGGACCCCTGTGAACCCTCGATCATGGCATTAGTGAAGATAATGAAATCATATACGATACTATATAGTGAATCGTGTGGAAGTAAGTGGCTCAAAAAGATTTTTGGACACTCGAACACAGACTATGTGGGTTTTGAGGTGCAAAATATACCTATGTAGGTATAACGGTATGCAGATTCCACGTGTTTTCAAAAGATGATAAACACAAATTAGTAGCATCTTCCTTTTTTAATTCCGATAGAAAATGGCGCAGGTGCTACATTCAAAGAAGCATGATACAGCATATAAAATGTTCAAAAAGGCAGATAGCAAATAATAAAAATAAAATTCTCCACAGCTATTCGATCTTTTACGCATGTAACGGAAGTTGGCACAGATTCAGCACAGATTCAGCACAGCACAGATTCGGTAGGGGGAAAAAAGGCCCCGGTAGAGGGAAACCTTTATGACCCGTTTTCCCCTAGAAATGACGTCACAAAGAGGTAAAAATGGGTATCAATCGAAAGCTCTCGTTTACCCAGACACAATCCTGCAGGAAAATTCCACTTTTTCCCCATAGGAAAGTTTGTACGGGGAAATCAAAATTTTGGGTCAATGGGGGGTCCCCCCCGATTTCGTTCAAAATCGGCACACAGGTGCCCCACCACCAGCCGAGAAACTTTCCCCAAAACGGTCCCCGTTGCATTGACGTTTAAGGCCCGTAAAGCCCCCTAGACTCGTAAAATATCCGTAAAATCGCCTTTGTACGGACAAAAAAGTGGTGCTAACTGCTATGGTAAAAATGGGTATCAAACGAAAGCTCCCGTTTACCCAGACACAGTCCTGCAGGAAAATTCCACTTTTTCCCCATAGGAAAGTTTTTACGGGAAAATCAAAATTTTGGGTCAATGGGGGGTCCCCCCCGATTTCGTTTAAAATCGGCACACAGGTGCTTCACCACCAGCCGAGAAACTTTCCCCAAAACGGTCCCCGTTGCATTGACGTTTAAGGCCCGTAAAGCCCCCTAGACTCGTAAAATATCCGTAAAATCGCCTTTGTACGGGCAAAAAAGTGGTGCTATGGTAAAAATGGGTATCAATCGAAAGCTCTCGTTTACCCAGACACAGTCCTGCAGGAAAATTCCACTTTTTCCCCATAGGAAAGTTTGTACGGGAAAATCAAAATTTTGGGTCAATGGGGGGTCCCCCCCGATTTCGTTCAAAATCGGCACACAGGTGCCCCACCACCAGCCGAGAAACTTTCCCCAAAACGGTCCCCGTTGCATTGACGTTTAAGGCCCGTAAAGCCCCCTAGACTCGTAAAATATCCGTAAAATCGCCTTTGTACGGACAAAAAAGTGGTGCTATGGTAAAAATGGATATCAATCGAAAGCTCTCGTTTACCCAGACACATTCCTGCAGGAAAATTCCACTTTTTCCCCATAGGAAAGTTTTTACGGGAAAATCAAAATTCTGGGTCAATGGGGAGTCCCCCCCCCCGATTTCGTTCAAAATCGGCACACAGGTGCCCCACCACCAGCCGAGAAACTTTCCCCAAAACGGTCCCCGTTGCATTGACGTTTAAGGCCCGTAAAGCCCCCTAGACTCGTAAAATATCCGTAAAATCGCCTTTGTACGGACAAAAAAGTGGTGCTATGGAAAAAATGGGTATCAATCGAAAGCTCTCGTTTACCCAGACACAGTCCTGCAGGAAAATTCCACTTTTTCCCCATAGGAAAGTTTGTACGGGAAAATCAAAATTTTGGGTCAATGGGGGGTCCCCCCCCGATTTCGTTCAAAATCGGCACACAGGTGCTTCACCACCAGCCGAGAAACTTTCCCCAAAACGGTCCCCGTTGCATTGACGTTTAACCCGCGCCCCGCTGGGGGGGGGGGCAGAATCTGCCCCCCTCCCGTTTTTCGCCAATAACTTCTAAACGCGTTACGCCAGCAACGTTAAACTTTCAGTACCTTATCATACATCAATTTGACACGTTCTCTGAAAATTTGAGCGAAATCCGTTGGAAAATTTTTGAGAAAATGACGTTTTAGTGACGTCATGTTCGCCATTTTCGCCTCAAAAATCGCGAAATTTCAAACGCCGCTAACATCTTCATTTTTAAAGGAATCAAGACGTAACAAAAAAGGTTATACGTGATTCTACTTTGTCTATCAAATGGCTATCTCGGTTTTTTGAAAATTTTGGATTTTGGCCCAAATTTTTTCAAAAAACCGACTTTTTTGGGAAAATAATTATAAAATCCACAATTTTGAGTATATCGAAAAAACCGGAATATATGTCAAAGAGGTGGTCTATGTGCACCAACATACCAATTTTGAAAAGAATCGGTTCAAAAATGTGGGAGTTATTCAAAATTTTATGACGTCACGACACACGAAATTTTTGAAAAATGATTTTTTTTTGGAAGTTTTAGACCTCGTACGGAAACAAAAATAGCACCATTCGACTCGCCGTGAAAAACTGCATCAGATAGACACCTTTTTAGGCCTTAACAACCAACTTCAAAATTTGACCCCACTTGACCTGACCTTGACCTGACCTCGACCTGAAATTCATCCAGAGGTGGTCCATATCACTAATTGAGTGTGTCTATTGAATTCTATGAGTAAAATGACCCATAA